AGAACGTTTCCACCAATAAGGGTGACTGGTTTGCTTGCGTAGAGATGAGTGCATTTCACATATACTGGATCAAATTTAGCTGTGAGAATGCTGGAATGTGTAAATAATTGTTAAAATATTTCAGGTTTATAAAACATTTATCAGTCATTACAACAATCTTGTAGAAGCTTCTAGCTAATACGAAAATAATGTTATTATACAGAATTTGATAATATGAATACATTATATTTGTGATTATAAACGACTGGGCCTATATATTGGTTTACCAATTCGAGTGTTCTTTGGTTACTTCCATGGTTACATCCATTTTCTGGACCAATCAAAACGACCCTCGCAAGTCGGGTGTGCGCGAACTGTGTTCAGTTCGCGCTCACCTCTGGCCCCGATCTGTAGGTGACCTCGTAGGTCACATTGTGGGCATGAGTTTACTTTGAACCATAGCCCGAGTAGCACCTCGGGGTAACCTACTAGGAGGTTACCTCGCGGCAAGTTTAGGGTTAGCTCAAGCTAACATTTCGGGCCCACAAATTTTGAGACGGGGATGGGAAGGGGAGAGAGCGGGAACGACGGGATGGGAAGGGGAGAGAGGAGGAACGACGGGATAGGAGGGGAGAGAGGCGAAACGACGACATAGGAAGGGGAGAGAGGCGGAACGACGGGACGGGAGGGGAGGGAGACGGAACGACGGGATGGGAAGGGGAGAGGGGCGGAACGACGGAATGGGAGGGGAGAGAGACGGAACGATGGGATGGGAAGGGGAGAGAGCGGGAACGACGGGATGGGAAGGGGAGAGAGGAGGAACGACGGGACGGGAAGGGAGAGAGATAGAACGACGGGATGGGAGGACAGTGAGGAGGAATGACGGGATGGACGGGGAGAGAGGAGGAACGGTACGGGACGGGATGAGAATGTGCGAGCGCGAATGGTACGGGAGACGAGGAACGTGAGCGCGATGGCGAGGGGATGAGAGAAGGTGAGAGCGACGGGAAGGGATGGGAGAGAGCGAGATCGACGGGTAGGAATGGGAGAGGGCGAGAGCGACGGGAAGGGATGGGAGAGAGCGAGAGCAGCGGGAAGGGATGGGAGGGCTATTCGAAACGAGCGTGACGGCGCAGAGGTGGGTGATGGCAGGGGCGAGAGGAAGAGCGACGGGAGGGCGACTGGGCGAGAGCGCCACGGCAACGAGGTGGGTCATAGGAAAAGAGAGAGGAAGGACGGCGGTAGGGCTATACTAAACGAGCGGAACGGAAATGGCGTTGGAAGGGCGGTGCGATAGGAGATGAAGTGGGGAAGGAGAAAGGCGACGGGATGAAGAGTGCGAAGGCGATGGGAGGGAGAGTGGACAGGCGACGGGAAAGAAAGTGCGAAGGCCAAGGGAGGGAGGGCGGACAGGCGACGAGGGAGAGCGCGAAGGCGACGGGAGGGAGAGCGGACAGGCGACGGGAGGGGGAAGGGATATCGCGAGGGCGACGGGAAGGAACGAAGGAAAAAGGGGACAACGAAGGCAACGTGAGGGAAGGGAGATAGTGAGGGCGACGGGAAGGAAGAGGGGACATCGAAAGCGAGGGGCGGGAGAACGGGAAGGCGACGGGCTCGGAGGGAACTCGCGAGGGCGAGGGGACAAGAGGGGTGAACGGGAGAATAACCGGGAGGGGAGACCGTGACGACGACGGGAGGGCCGTCGCGTGTGCGTTTGCGAGGGCGACGGAAAGGCGACGGGACGGACTAGAGAGCGAGGCGTCGGCGGACCCCACCAGCAATGGCGAGACGGGAAACGGGCACTGCGCTACCAGGCCACGTAAACCTACATTTCACACTCTCGCTAAGTCGACAATTGACGCACTCGTCGGTAATTACGTGGCTATGACACGATCGCATGTGCTTTCAGCTCTACTACTTACTATGCTATGCGGAAACTAGTGATGAATGGAGTGACAGAAATCTAGTAATGCACCCACCACCAGCTTGAAAATGAGGTTGGGCCTGCGATGGGAAACCATCGCCTGGGGTTTGTCGTGCGGATGCGGCACGCAAAAATGCGACGGCTGAAATGTGAAAAAAAATTCATTTTGGCGGGAACCATTACGTTCCATTGTGGCGAGGGCCAATGACATGAGTTCACTCTGCCCATACAAATCGTTTGAAACAGCGTTTTTGAGACTGGTTTCATCCTCACATGCAACTCCTCATTCAAGTTGGGACAGGGGTCACTATTTTGCATGCGGGCTTTAACTTGTAGGAAGCAAATTAAAAACAGTGGCTCATATATTCTCCAATCCTCTTTAGCCTGCCATGTGCCAAGCAGGGGCTAATTATCTTCGGAGGTTGACGGGTTGTGGATCATCCACTCCATCGGAGAGTTCATATCATCGCCAGAGGGATTTGAACCCCGACTGTCAACTGACAATCGGCCGTGTCAAAGTGTCATAAGTAGTTTATATCAACCTTTGTTACTGCTGATCCGGTTCTGATCTGTCCTTTCTTGCCTGCTATGGCGGCGCCCGAAGATCAGCGAACCGTGATTCTTGTGAGTCGGTTAGGCTAGGCGCGCACCGTGGATGCGACGCGTGCCGTTTGCGACGCCTGTTGCTCTTCTCTTCCACTCTCCGTTGTTCTTCTTTTCTCTGAGCCTTCTTGCCCCTCCTTCCCTCACCGGCTCATAACCCGTCGCTATGGTCGCTATTGCTGCCAATTCTGTTCTACTCCTGTATTAATTTTCTTCCGAGCGCCTTGAGGAGTTTTTTGAGTCCTCTAGACATGACTGCGTCGTTCCCAGGCGATGCAATCTTTCTGGTTACGCGCTGGCCTCTGTAGTATCATAGGTTTCTAGTCACTTCCTGCCTCGTCCACCCACGTTTGCTCTACGGATTGTGAACAATTGAACTCGCTATGCGCGCGTGGGTATACAGTGAAATGCTCACCGAAACCGAATCCTAATTCGCGTGCCATCTCGTTGCGTTACTGATGTGCGCGGGCAATGGCAGGTGAATGTTTTCCTTGACCGAACAGTGAAGCTTCTCAACGCCTTCGCCGCGTCGTGCGAATCTAAACTCCAATCGCTGCACCTGTGAGTCACCTCGCTGCACCTCGCTGCAGCTCTCTGCACCTGTGAGTCGCCTCGATCGCGCTGAGGTTTCTCTTGATGCACCCCGCCCGGCAAGTCGTGATGGGTTGTTGAGCCGCAGTCATGTTTTTTTTTGTTTTTTTTTTTTTTTACTAGGCGTCATACCATGTTGATCCAGCGTCATAAAATGAATCAAGCGAGCCCATTGACGCTTCTGGTGCTTACTTGTTACTGTTGTTGAGGAACAGTTGAGTTTTACCATTTAAGATGAACTGCACCAGATAACTTGCAGCACTTGTGGCGTATGCATGTGTGCAGCAGCACATGCATGCTTGCTGCGGCACGTGCATGCTTGCTGCGGCACGTGCATGCTTGCTGCGGCACGTGCATGCTTGCTGCGGCAGGCGCATGCTTGCAGCAGCGTCTGCAGAACTAGTCACATGGATATCCAGCACAAGTGTCACCTTCTCCCCTTTAATCCTCACCCTTTCCTGCTTCACCTTCCCCACTCACTCTGTCACCTGGCATGTTTCCTTCCCTTCGTCTTTCGTACCTCGTTTATCCTCATTCCCCTCCCCCTCCCGCTCACTCCACTTCTTTCCCATTCCAATCTTCCCCACCCCTCTTTCTCCCCCACTCCCGCCCACCCTCACCTCCTACTCCCCCACTCCCGCCCACTCTCACCTCCTACTACCCCACTCCATGGTCCCGTCCCTCCCACAAACATCATTGGCGGTCGTTTCTGCCATCCGATTTGCATCCCGCGATCACCTATTGGTTGGTATTTGGAAGCAGCCGGTTGGTGGAAATTGACACACGTGTCACTCTCCTAGAGGCTCAGATCAGAAGCACTGGTCTGCACACAGCCAATGGGAGATCAGCACATGCCAGGGAGGCGCACCAGAGAAACAAGAAGTTAACCTCAGCAGCCATCGAATCTACAGTAACTTCTACGGTGATCTCCGCTGCTACAAACGCAGCTGCTACTAACGAGTCTGTTGCACACGCACCAGCTACAGAGCCGCCAATTACAGGTGCAACTGGAGAAGTTTCTCCTGCAGCCGATTCAGCTTCAGCAGGCGAGAAGCTCACACCTCTACTCGATTCAAATGTCCCCGCTATAATAACACCGAGTTTAGACACACATCGCAGTGGTGAGGGGCAGAATCAGCCAGTTGGTAAGCCTGCCAGCAACGCAATATTGGTGGAACCGGGAGAAGCTGCAGCAGCTGCAGCAACTGAAGCAGAAGCAGCAGCAGCGGTGGTGGATAGACCAGCAGCAACAGCAACAGGAGGAGAAGCACCTGATCAGGAGTAGCTTTAGCAGAGAGATTGTATTGAGGCGCCTCTAAACGAAGCACCTGATTAGGAACTTTAGCAGAGAGACTGTTTTGAGGCGCCTCTAAACGAAGCACCTGATCAGGAGTAACTTTAGCAGGAAGACTGTTGCCATGCCAGAGTACAACTCTACAAACCATCTTATTGTGCGGTAATAGGCGTGCAGGCATAGGCAAAGGTGAGACTGCTGCATATTGGACTGGAAATGCAGCAGTAATTATCAGCAGAAGCAGCCACAACAGCAGTAACAAGAAAAGGAGCAGCTGATGACACAACACAACACAGCAGCATATGGGAGGGGGACTGTAAATGTACACTCGTAGTCTCGTATGCATTCCCTTCAGCAGGTAAATAGATAGTGCTTCCAATGTTTACTGTATAAGGACCAAAACATGGCCCTAAAAAAATCTCATGTATGCAGTAGCAGTATCGTAATATAGTTGTGCACCACTCTGCTTTTCACTAGCTTAAAAATTGCAAAGAATAAAACAATAGTGGGCAGACGCGTTTGTGGAACTCGTGTGGTCATCCCTCTTAGTTAACTGACCAATGCTGCTCTATCTTTGACTTGAAATCACGCGTGAAACACCAGCAAGTATTATTTGTACACCAGGAAGGGCTTGGGATGGCAGAGCGCAGCAGCGAAGGCCCTGCCTGACTCGGTTGGCTGCGAGAATGCGATCTGAGTCGGTGAGAGCGTGCAGGCATAGGCGAAGGAGACGCTGCGGTATAAGAGGATGGTCAGGTAGTGAGGGGAAGAAGGGGGTGTGGGGGAAGGCAGTGAGAAATGGTCAGGCGCAGCTGCGAAGGCCCTGCCTGACTCGGTTGGCTGCGAGAATGCGATCTGAGTTGGTGAGAGCGTGCAGGCATAGGCGAAGGAGATGCTGCGGTGGAATGGGGATGGCAAGACAATGGGATGGGGGGATGGAGAATTGAGACATGACCAGGAAAGGGGGTGCGGGCAAGAAATGAGAGGAATCGATCCTTGAGAGAGCAGGCATAGGGGAAGGCGATGGTGCAGTGGAATGAACACCAAGCAAGAGCGGCCAGGGGCGGGCCGGTTGGGAGGGGAGGGGGAAAAGGGGGGTGGTTGACAAAGGGGAAACAAAGTGGGGAGTTGGTTGGTGAGAGCGTGCAGGCATAGGCGAAGGAGATGCTGTGGTGGGGGGGATGTGATGGCAGGCAGTGGGAGGGGGGAAAGGAGGTGGGGGAGGAGGCAGTGAGAGATGGTGAGGCAAAGTGGCGAGAGCGAGCAGGTATAGCCGAAGGAGATGCAGTGGTGGAACCAGGATGGCGGGGCAGTGAAAGGGGGAAAAGGGGGGAAATGGGGTGGGGGCGGAGGCAGTGAGAGATGGTGAGGCAAGATGGTGAGAGTGAGCTGGCATAGATAAAGTGATCGCCAGGCAAAGGTGGTGGGGAGAGGGGGAAGGAAGGTGGCGAATCAAGCAGGTGCGAGGGGAAAGTGAGAGGAAGAAGACGGGGAGAGCGAGCAGGCATGGGCAAAGGCATGGGGGGATGTGATGAAAAAGGCTTAGGGTTGGGATGTGGTAGGATGAACAAAATATTGTGAATGTGGAATGGCGGGAGTGTGTAAGGAAGTGAAGGGACAGGTGCAATGGAGAGCATGTGAAAGTTGAGAACACATGGGCGAGGTGAGAACACATGGGCGAGGTGAGAACACATGGGCGAGGTGGAAGTGTATGTGCTTTGTCGCATGTGGGGAAGAGACAATGAGTGGGAAGAGAGAAGGGAGAGGCAGAATGTTGTGTGGAATAGGAAGGTGCAGAGAAAAAAGAGACAGAGACATGCACGCGCATGCACCCGCACACACATGCTTACACCTGCATACACACACGTGCTCACAGACACGCACGTGCATGCGCACACACAAACACACAAACACACACACACACATACACATACACACACACAAATACACACACACACACACACACACACACATACACACACACACACACATACACACACAAACACACACACACACACATACACACACACACATACACACACACACACACACACACACACACACACACACACACACACACACACACACACACACACATCCCACCTCACAGCCTTGATCATCTCAGTGGCAACTCCCCTCCGCCGGTGTGCCGGGTGCACCCAAACCGCCCTCACCCCACACACCGCTGCACACAGCTCGTCCTTTTGATCCTCCTCCTCTACAGCCACACCAGTCAGCGGCTCTGCTGGTTGCTCTGCCGCGTCCCGTGGGCCACGCACCCTTGCACTCGGCTGGGTTTCTTTTGCAGGGTGTGAATCAGAAGCGGGGCTGGGAGGAGCAGCAGGAAGAGGACGAAAATTTGGAGCAGAGGGGACGGCAGTCGAAGGGAGCACACTAGCTGTGGCAGGAGGAGAGACAGGAGGAGCAGGAGTAGCAGCGATCGTAGGGGAGGCAAGGCAGGGGTTGGTGGTGCGGAAACCAGCACTGCATGTTCTGGTGTTGCACGAAGATGCATTGTGAGGTGTGGCCGTGCCTGCTTCAGCAACACACGGTTGAGAGCTGTGTGGTTGACTGTTGCATGGCTCGAAGGACTTTTTTTTAGGCGCCTCAAAACTCGCTTCAGCAACACACGGTGTAGGGCTGTATGGTTGGCCAGTGCATGGCTCGAAAGACCCTGATTGACTTGTTGAACGCTCCTCTGCTGCTGCTGCTGTTGCTGCCGCTGCAAATACTGAAGCTGCTTCTGGTGTTGCATCTGAAGCTTTGGATAATATTGTCATGGACTCTGCTGCTGCTTCTCCTTCTGCTTCTGCTGTTGCTGCTGTTGCTGCTTCTGCTGTTGCTGCTGTTGCTGCTTCTGCTGTTGCTGCTGTTGCTGCTTCTGCTGTTGCTGCTGTTGCTGCTTCTGCTGTTGTTGCTGTTGCTGCTGTTTCTGCTGCTCTTGCTGTTGCTGCTGCTGATGCTTCTGCTCTTTCTGATGCCGTTTCTAGTGCATGTTGTGGCATGGACCGAGCCTGTGCTGGCTGCGCATGGGAGATGGGCTCGGCTACAAGGCACCCCACCAGCTGCCTCCCGCGGATGTACAGATATGCCTGTGGCAGGGGGGGGGATGGGAAAACTTTTGAGTGGACTCAGAAGTCACCTCGGCTCGGTTACAAGAGCACAGGCAATATGATCATGATGGGTGCGCATGGGAGATGGGCTCTGCCACAAGGCACCCCACCAGCTGCCTCCCACGCACGCACAAATATGCCTGTGGGGGAGAGAGGATGGGGAAACTTTTGAGTGGACTCAGAAGTCACCTCGTTACAAGAGAAAAGGAAATGTAATTATGATGTGTGCGTCATCCCGCCTGGGAATCTGGCTTTGCTGCAACACGGCATCCCACCAGCTGCCTCCCACGGACGTACAGATATGCCTGTGGGGGAGAGAGAGCGACGAGGGATGGGGGAGTCTGCGGGGAGTGCGTGTGAGTCGACTCAAACGACTCCTCATTAACAATAGCACATGGAATGTGCATGACCCGGCTGGGCATGGGAGGCACCCCACCAGCTGCCTCCCACGGACGTACAAACACGCCTGTTGGGGAGAGAGGGATGAGGGATGGGGAGAGTGTGTGGGGAGAGAGGGACGAGGGAGGGTGTGTGGGAGAGTGGAGGAGGGATGGGGAGAGTGTGTGGGGCGGAGTGTAGAAGTGGGGAGGGAGGGTTTGAAGGCAGGTTTAACACCACCCAGCAGAGCAGCCAGATGGGTGTGACTCTCATGCCCCTCTCCAGCACTCCCACCTGAAGCTTGGTGCCGTCTCGTTCAAGAGTGCACAGCAAGAAAACACCCCTCCCCTCCCCTCCCCTCCCCTCCCCTCCCCTCCCCTCCCCTCCCTTAACACACCCGCTGATGCTCACCTTCCATTGGCCGCCCAGCAGCCACGTGGGGCTCACACCCATTGCCCTCTCCAGCACTCCCACCTGAAGCCAGGCGCCGCCTCGTTCAAAAGAGAACAGCTTGAAACAATCCTCATCCCACTCCTCTGTCCCTCACCTGCACTTGCCCCTCCACCAATCCAAACTTACCCCTCATCCAAGACAGCAAGCATGAATTTTCCAGGGTGTTTCAGGGAATTCTCCGGATTAACCCCCAACCCCACCCTCCTGCTGCTCACCTTCCATTGGCCGCCCAGCAGCCACGTGGGGCTCACACCCATTGCCCTCTCCAACACCGCTGCTATTTCTTGCATCTGCGTGGGAAAAGGGATATGGACCAAGAGGGGAGAGGGTTCAAAGAGGCAGGAGGAGGAGGAGAAGCAGAGAGACGTGAGAGGGCAGGGCGCAATGGAAACCTGCCAGAGAATTAGGTGGTTTGCAGAAATGTGAAGGGAGGGAACAGGGACAGGAGGGGTGAGAGTGAAGGGGGAAATGAGTGGATAGTCTAGGAGGAGGGAAGGAGGTGGTTAGAATTGGAAGACTCATGAAGGCAAGTGAGTGGTTCTAACCTCCTTTTCTCCCTCTTGCAAGTGAGTGGTTCTAACCTCCTTTTCTCCCTCTTGCAAGTGAGTGGTACTAAACTCCTTTTCTCACTCTTGCAAGTGAGTGGTACTAACCTCCTTTTCTCACTCTTGCAAGTGAGTGGTTCTAACCTCCTTTTCTCACTCTTGCAAGTGAGTGGTACTAACCTCCTTTTCTCACTCTTGCAAGTGAGTGGTTCTAACCTCCTTTTCTCACTCTTGCAAGTGAGTGGTACTAAACTCCTTTTCTCTCTCTTGCAAGTGAGTGGTACTAACCTCCTTTTCTCACTCTTGCAAGTGAGTGGTTCTAACCTCCTTTTCTCACTCTTGCAAGTGAGTGGTACTAAACTCCTTTTCTCCCTCTTGCAAGTGAGTGGTTCTAACCTCCTTTTCTCACTCTTGCAAGTTAGTGGTTCTAACCTCCTTTTCTCACTCTTGCAAGTGAGTGGTACTAACCTCCTTTTCTCACTCTTGCAAGTGAGTGGTTCTAACCTCCTTTTCTCACTCTTGCAAGTGAGTGGTTCTAACCTCCTTTTCTCACTCTTGCAAGTGAGTGGTTCTAACCTCCTTTTCTCACTCTTGCAAGTGAGTGGTACTAACCTCCTTTTCTCACTCTTGCAAGTTAGTGGTTCTAACCTCCTTTTCTCACTCTTGCAAGTGAGTGGTTCTAACCTCCTTTTCTCACTCTTGCAAGTGAGTGGTACTAACCTCCTTTTCTCACTCTTGCAAGTGAGTGGTTCTAACCTCCTTTTCTCACTCTTGCAAGTGAGTGGTACTAACCTCCTTTTCTCACTCTTGCAAGTGAGTGGTTCTAACCTCCTTTTCTCACTCTTGCAAGTGAGTGGTAATAAACTCCTTTTCTCACTCTTGCAAGTGAGTGGTACTAACCTCCTTTTCTCACTCTTGCAAGTGAGTGGTTCTAACCTCCTTTTCTCACTCTTGCAAGTGAGTGGTACTAAACTCCTTTTCTCCCTCTTGCAAGTGAGTGGTTCTAACCTCCTTTTCTCACTCTTGCAAGTTAGTGGTTCTAACCTCCTTTTCTCACTCTTGCAAGTGAGTGGTACTAACCTCCTTTTCTCACTCTTGCAAGTGAGTGGTTCTAACCTCCTTTTCTCACTCTTGCAAGTGAGTGGTTCTAACCTCCTTTTCTCACTCTTGCAAGTGAGTGGTTCTAACCTCCTTTTCTCACTCTTGCAAGTGAGTGGTACTAACCTCCTTTTCTCACTCTTGCAAGTTAGTGGTTCTAACCTCCTTTTCTCACTCTTGCAAGTGAGTGGTTCTAACCTCCTTTTCTCACTCTTGCAAGTGAGTGGTTCTAACCTCCTTTTCTCACTCTTGCAAGTGAATGGTACTAACCTCCTTTTCTCACTCTTGCAAGTTAGTGGTTCTAACCTCCTTTTCTCACTCTTGCAAGTGAGTGGTTCTAACCTCCTTTTCTCACTCTTGCAAGTGAGTGGTTCTAACCTCCTTTTCTCCTCTTCCTTCACGCAGGCAAGCGGTGGGTGACACGAAACGAGGGTGACCTGCTGGCCGTGGTTCCAGGCACGCTTGTGCTGCTCACCACGTGCACCTCAACGCACCGCAGTGCACCGTTGTCAAGCGCACACGCATCAACGCACCTTTGCCAGCTGCACTGCGGTGCACTCTGCATGGGTGATGAGCACGATCCGCCCTGCCGCAACCCCTTCACACCCTGCACTCCCCGCGGTCCCTGCTACTGTCTGCACCACCCTCTCATTCCTCCATCCCTGCACAGAAGCGCAATGTCAACAAAGGGACAAGGAGAGGAAAAAGCAGGTTTCATTCCTGGGAGCTGGGCACGAAGCGCAGTAATTCTCTTTGCACTCACTTGCTTAAATCCCAGGAAGTACACCCCACCTCCTCCCAGGAAGTACACCCCACCTCCTCCCAGGAAGTACACCCCACCTCCTCCCAGGAAGTACACCCCACCTCCTCCCAGGAAGTACACCCCACCTCCTCCCAGGAAGTACACCCCACCTCCTCCCAGGAAGTACACCCCACCTCCTCCCAGGAAGTACACCCCACCTCCTCCCAGGAAGTACACCCCACCTCCTCCCAGGAAGTACACCCCACCTCCTCCCAGGAAGTACACCCCACCTCCTCCCAGGAAGTACACCCCACCTCCTCCCAGGAAGTACACCCCACCTCCTCCCAGGAAGTACACCCCACCTCCTCCCAGGAAGTACACCCCACCTCCTCCCAGGAAGTACACCCCACCTCCTCCCAGGAAGTACACCCCACCTCCTCCCAGGAAGTACACCCCACCTCCTCCCAGGAAGTACACCCCACCTCCTCCCAGGAAGTACACCCCACCTCCTCCCAGGAAGTACACCCCACCTCCTCCCAGGAAGTACACCCCACCTCCTCCCAGGAAGTACACCCCACCTCCTCCCAGGAAGTACACCCCACCTCCTCCCAGGAAGTACACCCCACCTCCTCCCAGGAAGTACAACCCCACCTCCTCCCAGGAAGTACACCCCACCTCCTCCCCTCACACCTGCGTGGCACTTCTGCCGGGCACGACATGTGAGAGGGGAGCTTGGCAGGGATCGATCGATTTGATTTCCCTCTGGCAAGCTCCCCTCTCAGATTGGGAGGCGCACTGTTGAGAATTCTCAAAAGTGATTGGGAGGCGCACTGCTACCTCCCAATCTCCGCTCCTCCAGCCTGCAACAACAACAACACACACACCTGCACTGTACGTCCTTGCAGCAAAACTCTGCTTCAAAACCAGTCAGATCATACCTCAGGCAAGTACCCCCCCCTCCCTCTCTCTCATCTGGACAGTCACAGCACGGCAGGACAGCCTGTGATGCGCCTCACGCGATGCCTCATCCGACTTTTGAGACGTCTCATAAGTCGCCTCATGGGCTGCCTCATCCGCCTTGAGCCCTCTGACGAACACCAACCCGCACACCCGGACATCACCTCCCAACTCCTCATCTCACCTGAACAGTCACACTTCCACAGAACAGTTGTGATGTGCGTCGTGCGCTGCCTCATCCGCCTTGAGCCCTCTGACGAACACCAACCCGCACACCCGGACATCACCTCCCAACTCCTCACCTCACCTGAACAGTCACACTTCCACAGAACAGCTTGTGATGTGCGTCGTGCGCTACCTCATCCGCCTTGAGCCCTCTGACGAACACGCTGCTGCGCCAGCCCCTGCTGCTCCACCCGCTGCTGCGCCAGCCCCTGCTGCTCCACCCGCTGCTGCGCCAGCCCCTGCTGCTCCTCAATGCTTCTGTGCTCGTCTTCCCCTGTGCTCGCCTCTGCCTTGCGCTTCAGCTTCGATTTCCTCAGCCGTTGGGTCTCGTACTCATCGTCCTCTCGAGGCACATCTGACGGACACGATGCTCCGCCTGACCTCTCCTTGCCGGAGCCATTCCCCTGCCTTAACCAGAAGGCCAATGTGGAGGTGCCACGTGGACGTTCTTCTGACGCTGATAACGCAGGAGCCGACACGACTTTGATATCCGCGATAGAAGCTGTTCTCGTAGGCAGCCTCAAGGTACATCCACTTGGAATGGTTGCTGCGGCTGCTGATGCAACCGCCATTTTGGTTGTGAAAACGTTGCACGCTTCAGGAGAAAAGTCAGGTGAATCGCCAAAAGAGCGGCCTGGTGTGGAGCTGCCTAGCACATGCCGGAGCGCATCCCTGCTTCTGAAAGCCAATCGTCATAAAGGTGAGAAACGGTCTGATCATGTTTGACACGGTACAAGCAGGTTCTGGTCATTCAAGACCCAGGAAATTTTGCGGCTGTAAAGGGAGTTGACATGAAACAATATGCGGATGAATGAGATAAAAGAATCAGGAAACGACGGCCCGTGTATTCCTTCTGCTCTTGCTGTGAACCGTCAACCATCCGCCAAATAACATATTCCATCCGCCTTCTCACACGCCATTTCTTTCACTCTTGCCGTCAACTATCACTCACCCGCCGTCAACCTTCACTCACCCGCCGTCAACCTTCACTCACCCGCCATCAACCTTCACTCACCCGCCGACAGCCATCACTCACCCGCCGTCAGCCATCACTCGACGGATTCTCCTATACGTCACAAGGCGGTCCGTCACGCCAATCGGCTCCTCGCACGTGGCCGACGGCGGCGCGTCGCAGCGGCGATCATCCGAGTCCGAACTCATCAACTCGCGACCCGGCGAGTCGCATGCGCTCCCAGCTCTACAAGATTCGCTCCCAAGGTCACACGAGGGGGACTTCGCAGGCATTGGATGCATCGGAGCATCGGAGGATCGGGGTGACTTCTGAGTCAACTCTAACGATTTCTCACGCACCGACTCCGACTCCGACTCCGGCGCATCAACGCATCGCCTCAACGCGGCCGTGCACTGAGCCTCTCGAAGCGGACACGATCTGGGATCTCGGCTACTAGGAAAGGGACCGTCTTTATGACTGGAAGAAGGATTTTCGGAGGTTTCAAGGAGTTGGAACTGGCATGTTGGAGCGCCGTGGCACTGAGCCGGGCTTGCACGCGCGGGGTCAGCGGTCGACGGCTTGAGTCGCTTCACCCACGAGTCGAGAGTTCCACGCTGCTCGACCCTCTTTTTCGCCCCAGCTCCCCCCTGCTTCTGCTTCGATGATTCTTTCGGCAATCCTAGGCTCGACGAAACCAGGCGTGACTTCTTGAGGCTCGGCGATTCGAGGTTCGGCGAGCCGAGGCTCGAGTCGACGGCAGAACGCCTCCTCGCTCCCCCATTATTCCCTCCGTCCGAGACTGACATTGAGGATGCGTTGCGGATCTCCGCGGGGGGGTTTTGAGGCGCCTCAAACGACGCTGATTATGCTTTCAGCTTCTCCGCACGGGCCTCGGAATTGTCCGTGTTTCTGCCGTCTAATCGACGGCACAGAACAAACGACATCACGTTCGCATTAAGACGGATGATTGCGGGCTGGAAACCGAATAGAAATGCAAAGCTCTTTGATACGAATAGAGGACGTGTACAGGCTTGGCTGAGCTACGTGCTCGTGGCGTCGAGGAAAGCTAATGGGAGCAATGGGAGCTCGATTCGTAGAAGCAGGAAACCAGGTGGAATCGAACAACAACGGAAACGTTGTGGAACTCACTAAGGGCGGATCCACAACGTCACTCCAAGGTGAGCCTTGGGATTGACCAGCATTCATACTACAGTTGTAACGTGAGACATTCGAACTGATGTTTCGTCAAAATAGTACGAAAGCCATCAGCTTGGGGTCACAGAGAACGTGGCGAGCTCCATCGGAGTACATCATTTTCGCCTATGCTCGTTCGACACTTCGTAACAACTTCGAATACTCGTGGTAGGAGCATTTGGTCTCCGGAGCTTTCCTGTGACCGAACTTCACATTCGGGAACCCTCCCTGAGAATGTTCGTAGTAACGTCAACATGCGACACGGTTTTAAAATTCCGAATAAACCTCGTTAGTGAAACCTCGACTTCAGCCAAAGTATGACAAAGGAACAGTGGCACCTCGGTTCAGGGACAGGGGCTACAACAGTGAGATTATGGTGTTTTTGGCCTTAGGAATGGAAAACCAGGTGGTAGCAAAATCAACCAGGCAATCACAAGACATCGATAGGTTGTAATTCAGTGAGGCCAAGCAGTTTGAGTGCGGCTAATACTTGAGAGGGTGTAAGTCAATGAGCCAAAGAAGTGAGGGCGTAAGTCGATATACCAAACACTAGGCTGATCAAAGAGAAGAGGGCGGGAGGCGGGGAGGGGTAGGGATTGAAATAAGAAATCTCTGGAACCACGGTTTAGTATACATCTATGAAAAATGTAAGCAAAGCTTAGAAACGAACCTATAAGATGGAAGTCTGATGTAAGTCAGGAAGGAAGTATGTAAGGGAAGAGAAAGCTGTGCTCAGCTCAAGATGCACCACATGCAGCTGTTGGATAAGAAGAGCCCTTGCTTCATAATGCAGGATACATCCAGAGAAACTTATTTCAGGAGTAACAGCAGTGCAGCAACTTATTCTTATAGGGACTTCAGTACGAGATGGAACTTCCACTTCATCACACGTAAACATCCCCCTACTGGTACCTCCTCTGCGTCACACACCTGTTCTTCTGCCTGTCCCAGTTACTCTGGATCAGAAATCTCATGCTCTTCATCCCAACGAGATTGTACTCGTACGTTCTGCCTCGGCTGTCCTGACCCTTTTTCGTCTTACCAAAATCTGAAGAGCACTTGTCCGCATTCTCTGCATCTGTGTCGTCCATCCATCCCGTCACACAATCCGGGTCCGTTGCTGCTTCCGCGATTTCGTGAGCGATGCTGGAAAGCATGAAATCGATGGCAGGGTTACCGTTCGGCGACGGATTTCTCTGCCATTCTGCTGGGCACTGCCCGGGATGTCCCACGAACGACAGTACAACCGGTTTTGACTCGAAGGAGTTCATGCTGTGCCATCCTAGAGATTCGGTACAGAAACCCGGGACGGTGACATCCTTGCTGGTAAGAAGCAGGTAGATGCCATTCGCGTCGTACGGAAACGGCTTCCCAGCTCCCATCTTGCTGGAAATAACTGCGACAGAAGATGTGATTTCTATGGTTTAGACAATGACAGAGCGATCATGCGCCAAACTTTTTCGTACTCTGACTCTCGTGCAGTGGCGCATAGATTATGCAGTGACTTTATTTATGCTAAGCGGGGAGACATGGAATGCTGGAAGAGGCAAAATGGTTTCAGTCGTGATGCGTACCTTCCATAACCGTGTCTTGGCCAAAATCCGCTCCCGCCGAGTAGTCGTCATAGACAGTTTTGGCGAGGTGCACCTGGAATGACATGGAACCAGGAAGGAATTGCATAATGCTGGAAACGAGCTGATCGCCGATGCGCTATTAAGCAGCTTGACATGATCCCGTCACCCATGATTCGATCACGCATGCCTTATATATTCGATCGCATGTTACGATCACGCATGTACCGATCACTCAATCACGCCCTACTCACTCGTTTCGTCCCTCCTCCCTTCGAGCCACTTGTTAGAACCTGCGGTACAACCCCATCGTTCACCAAGACGGTCACTGGCATGAAAAGTCGCACCTTCTTGCTGACGTTCCTCTTCGCGCCATTAACCCCTTCCTGCGTGTACGCCGCGCTGATCGCCCACCAGCGCTTCACCTTGGGATCCGCGGGACCCCCCTGCTGCTTCGAGTCGGCGCTCAACGATCGAATAAAGTTCTCGATTATTTTCTGCCCCGAACCCGCCGGCCAGCTGCCGTAGTAAATAATGTACACGTTGATGGACGGGTTCCCAGTCATCACGGGTCCGCCTCGGTATTTGATCGGAGGGTTTGAGGTGTCAGCGCCCGTTTTGCTCTCACGCTTTTCGCTCTCAGCGAAATGCATTTTGGAATTGAACGTGTGCAGAGGCGGGCGCGAGCCCTGGTCAACGGTGTCGGTCAGCTGGCGCTGACGGCGGAATTCTTCGTGCGCCAAGGGCGTGCGCGCGATGCGCATAGGCGCGCCGGCGGATGCGAGGGGGAGCGGCGAGATGCAGACGAGGGAGAGGACTACGAGCAGCAGGGAGAAGGTGCCAGGGGGTTTCGCCATTGCGACTGGCTGGGGGAGAACGTGAGGTTCTTCAAATCGAGAAAGTAACGGGGAAAATTCTAGCGCAGATATGCGCCAGACTCACGAGGCTAATCTTGCTTTATGCGTCGCTTGATTCAGCTGTCAGATGTCATTCGAATCGCTCTTGGGATCAGCCGGGATGATTTTATAAATACTGCTAGCTGCGGATGTGGAATGATAAGAAACGGGATCCAAAGCAGGTGAACTGGATGGGTTGAGTCGTGCGACTGAATAAGGTGGGAATGTTGGTTGTAAGAAAGCGCAGACGGGTATGTCACCTCTGAGCACGGCTGTTCTACCGTTTTCTTCATGATTTTCGGCAGGGAAGCCGAGCAAGCATTTCTCCCGGCTGGAATGCACATGTCCAATAATTTCGCGGCTCGATTTCGTGGAAAGTGTTCGATATGGATGACTGCAGGTCTAGACACCAGGTTTCCAATTACTGTATATATTTGAAACAGACCGCTCTAGACCATTCAGAGCCTTTTTCAAGTGCATTCAAACTTACTCACGCGACCCGCCCCGAACCCCATGCAAAAATTGTGGGTTCGTCAGCTATACTGAGTACAGAGGCGAGTATACTATGCAATAGAACGTGCTATAAATAGTACAAGTACAAAAGCGTAGCTCATATTTTGTATGTGCGAACCAATGTACATGGTTCCATCAGATAGTAGAAATTTGAATGTAAGTGAATTACGGATATACATTTGTAAATATAATCCCATGGTCTAATCTTGTCGTTATCCCTTTATTTCTCCCTTCCAAGGACACGCCTTATTGCGTGCAACTTATGTTGGCTGCCATGTTTCAGAGGCTTGGCCTGTCCTGGATATGACCTGGCTTGGCTTGGCTTGGCTTGGCATGGCCTCGCCCCGCCATGCTTGGTCGAGCGTGGCTTGGGGTATCCTGGCCTCATTTGGCCTAGCATTGATTGACGCGCCTTTGCCAGAACTGGATTGGCTTGTCTTGCTTGC